AGAACCCCTCAGCAGGACGGTGAGAGCCCAGCCAAGCGTAAGGCAGAGGCTGCTGTGGGCTAGAGAAATGTGCCCAGAAGCTGTTTGGCTACGTTTCCCGATCGTTTGTAAATAATGTTACATGTTAAATGATGTTAATGTGATAAGTCAATAGCAAATAGTACATAATAATTACTGCTAATAGTAAAGAGTAAATACTAAAATGTAGATGGTAAATAATAAAGTGTAGATGGTAGATAATAATAAATAGTAAACAAATAGTAAATAATAAATGATAAGCAATAAATAACAATTAATGAGTAACAAATAATAAATATGAATAGCAAATAACAAATAAATACAAACAACAGATAAATTAAGCTATAAATAAATAATAATAAATAATAGTTGTTGTTGTTATTATTAACGTGATAAATAATGTTGACGGCTGCTGCTTGGGGAAGCCCCCCCCCGGCCGGCACAGGGCCGGGCGACGCGTCCTGCCAGGCACGGGGCCGGGCGACGCGGATCCCGACGGCAGCTCCTGGCCGGGGGTCCTGGCACACGCGAGGACAACCAGCGCAGTGACGACGACGATTACCGGACTGAGCGTCCGTTTCTTTATTTCACCTCTGAAATCTCTGCTTCTTCCTCGGGCTGGCAGTTAACAGCTCCCAGTGACGTGGCGACAGCCGCGCTGGGGACAAGGGTGACGAATTCCCTCACGCTGACGTTTTGGCATCGTTTGAAATGTTTCCGTTTCTTCTCTCTATGGTAAAAACGGGGAGAAGGGGGCGATATCGAGAAACAAACTCACAGGCTTTATTTAAACTTGGGGTTTTGCCTGCTTCGAAGTCACACAGTGCTCAGAAATCACTCCCACGAGTGAGCTCTTCTCATAACCGCTGGGGTTTTGCCCGGTTGCCCCCACAGAGAAGCAATGCATTTCTTTTGGGCTGGGTTTCACCCGACAGCACGGGTCATCGCCTCACAGCATCTCTTCTGCGCATCACCCATTCCCTCCCAGGACCACCGCGGGAAAGACTTGATCAGCTTCTCCCTGGAAAACTCTCTGGTTTGCTTTATCCCCTTTTTAGATCACTGTGATCCCAGGACGGGGGGGAAAAAAACCCAACCAAAACCAACAAAAAAACCCAGCAGAAAGCAGAGTTGGAGATGGTCTTTTACCATCCCAGCTGGACAAAACACCAAACCACAGGAACATGTGTGCAAACTGAACTTAATTAATGGGCATTCCTCCGTCTGCAGCTCACGCTGGAGAGGGCTCAAGCGGAGGAACTCATTTCCCAGCAGAAATTTCCCACCTTCTTCCAACCTGCCCAGCAATCAAAGGGAACCCATACAATTATAAGAAATTAGAACAAAATTACAAACGGTTCTAACAGGGTAGTAACAGAAATATATCATCGATGAAAAAGGGCAAGCCGTTCACCCAGGATAGTTTAAATAGCCTAAGAAAAAAAAAATCTTAGTGATGAACTTCCAAGTGTCCCAGTGGTAACGACGCTGCCGAAGCTTGCAATAATTACCGCCGCCATCTCCGGTTTTCACTGCCTTTGCCCCAAATGTTCTTCCAACCACAAGTCTCCAAATTCCCCCCCGGCACACTGCCAGCATCTGCTCTGGATGCGGCGGGAGTGGGCAGCATCCTTTGGGAAACCCCCGCCTGCCGGAGAAATGCGCTGGGGCTGGCTGGGAATAGTCACCGCGTGCAACGCACCCCATCAGCTCTGCTGGGGAGGTGGGGGCTTCTCCTTCAACCCCTGCAAAAATCAACCCAAAAGTAGCTTTTTCATGCTAAAGCAATGGTAGGATTAGCTAAAAATGACTTCTGCGGCTGCAGGGTGGGCTTCACCATCCATCCTCCTCCTCCCGGGAAGGCAGAGCCTGCAGGGACCGGAGCTGTGCCCAGCTCTACGTCGAACCCATCGCAGCATCCATAGCTCTCACTTCCCAGGCGTTTGGGTGTTTGTTTTTTTTCTCACTGAAACTCATCCAAATACGGTTCTGCTTTTATTTATTCTGCGACTGAGGGGTGATGCTGCCTGCTTAAGGTCTGTTTTCTTAGGATAAAAATAGACGTTTGGAGGAAAAACTCTATGTGAGCTGCAAAATCATACCGATCGGCGTTAGTGAGTCATCTCTGCCCCTGCAAGCACCGAGCTCTGCGCTCGTAGGAGAGAAGGTGCCTACTGATATCGATAAGGAAACTCCTGACGACTCCTCCCCTGATTTTTTTTTTTTTTTTACTGATAATACTTTGTGGTTCGCACGCACGGCACAGCCTTGATTGAAAAGAAACGGCACAGATCCTTACGCATTTGCACAGGGAGGAAAGAAAAATCCAAAGGCACTACGTCACGAGAGAAAGGAGCCGGTCCCTCCAGCTCAGAGGATGTAACCCTGGCAATTAAGAATTGGCTTAAATTGCACAAAATGAAAGAATTTGGGGGTTTATGTGGAGGATCGTTCCCTGAGGTGTAAGAGCAGGTTAAACACAGTCACCGGTTGTGATATTCAGATTTAATTTTGCCGTCTTTTGAAGAGGAGATGGAGGAAGGTGATGAAAAAGAGGAAGAGGGTGATGCACGGCAGCGTGAGACTTGGGGAGCTTTTGAGGGTTTGAAGTTAATTTAGCAAAAAACCTGTGCATTATTGTAAAAAAAAAAAGACTACAGAAAATCCCATCACACTAAATATTCGGCCTCACCAGATTTCTGCTTCCTATGCACTTTATCAGGTAAATGAAGAGATTCAGAAAAAAAAAACAAAAAAAAAAA